ATATATATGTAATTTTACTATTAAAATAAATAAATATATATATATATATATACTCAAACTCGCGAGTTAAAGAGCTTAATATTTTGAACTCGAGTTCAACTCGGCCTGTTTGAACTCGACTCAAATCGTTTGCGAGCGGCTCAATTCGTTTGCACCTCTAGTTGAGCCTTTATCGGATGCTTGCTTCGATTTGACATCTCTATTTAACTATTTCTGATTACTAACTTTGTTACATTTATTGAGGACGTATATGCTTACTAACGTTACATTTGGGAGATGAGAAATGGACACTGAGGGAATGTTTTGAATTGAAAGTAATATCCTTGGACAGAAAGAAAAGAAATTGAAAGGATTTCACTTCCATCCACTATCAAAAAGTTTTCTTGCCAAAAGTGGGTAGATTTTGAAAGAAGATAATAAGATTTTTCAATATGACATCTTTTTGTCATATATGGCCTTTATTATTTAACTAAAGTTTTTCTAATGAGTATTCATAAGACATTTGTTAATACACCTAACATCTTCCTAACCTACCATATATATATAAATAGACACACACACACACAAACTAATAATTACTATCCTCCCTTATATTTATTTACTTTTCTTAATTAATGTTATATTTTCAAAAATATGATGCTTGAAGTATATCTTGCACCCGATAGACAAACCCTTTAAAATGGCACATTTGTAAAGGTAGACATTAAGAATCATTTCTTTCCATTTTTCTATAACACCTCTACAAAAGGAAATTATTTATTTCTTTTCTTTTCTTTTCTTTCCATTTTTTGTCTTATTTTCTTTTGTTTCCTAACCGATCCTTTCTTTTCTTTCCTTTTCTATCCTAAATTGCCGAACCAGCTCTAAGAGATAGTATGAGGGTGTTTATTACAGTGGTTGTTTTCTTTTGGCTAGTAATATTATGAGGGTGTTTATTGAGAGATAGGTGTTTATTATAGTGGTTGTGAGCCACAGAGGGAATTGTAATTTTCACTTTGCATCAGTAGTGAGTTTTGTGGCAAACATTGCCAGTAATAACTTAACTCTATTAGACTGCCTTGGAACAAAAGTAATTCGGCAAGTACCAAAAGGATCCCACTCCTCCCTAATTCTATCTCCTACTACTTTGCAATCAGAATGGACAAGTATAGATGCTAAGTTTCTGTTTAATGCATATACCATTGCAGCTCTGATTGCCAAAGCCTCAGCAATTTCTGGATCTTCACAGTAGCTAACAAGTATAGCCCAAGTTGCTGTCAATTGTCCCCCAAGATCCCATATTCCAATCCCTAGGCCAGCAGTGTTTCTTAACTTATCAATTGCTCCATCTGCAAACAAGTTCAGTGCTTGCTTATCTTGACATGATCTTGGGATTTGGTTGCCTTGTTCTTGCTATCTTGTCTCCGTTGAGTTGGTCACCTCCAAGTTTGCTGCCTAAAATCATGCCACTCATCAACAGCAATCGTAGAAGTCCAGTAAGCCTTCTTGATGTGTCAAATTGAAGGCTACCTAATTCCCGCTTTCCATGCCGTAACAGATCTTGCTGTCATAGAGCTATGTGGTCTTTCCCATCTTTTCCTAGCTGTAGCCTCTTGCAAATGCATCCACCATTCCCAGAGGTTTCATCTGTGTTGCATCAAATCATCCCCATTTGAGCGAAATGTTTTTTCATGTATCCTGTACAGTTGTACAAAAAAAAGAACTTGTGGTCGTTGGTCTCTATCTGCTCCCCACAATTTTTGCACATTGGGATTCCTTTTTGAGTTCTCTTAAAGACAGTTTCGACTCGATTATGCTAAAGTTCGACTCGATTTAATTTGTTTGCATCCCTAATTAAGAGAACTCTTTTAGATGATATGCTTAACCTTCTCAACTTTGAGGAAGTTGAGGATTTCAATATGTGCTTCTGCGCATTACAAATATAACAATCTATTTCAATCAAAGACAAAAGTATGCAATTGCAAGTTGAACCACGCTATGAAATTAAAGAGTAAAAATTCAGTAGATCTGAACCATTGATTTTAAAATTCTGCAAGACTGTTGAGGTACAAACAAATGTATACTTTGACAAGTAAAGGATTTTTTTTTCTTTTTCTTTCAAATAAAACTGAGCTCCAAAAGCTTTTCTTCATGATGTTGTTCTACTCTTTTGGCATTTTGTTTGCCAAAACTTGTGGCATAAGGATAAGGCTGTCTCAATTTCTTCCCTTCCCTTTGAAAAAGTGGCAAAAGCTTAATACTTAAGCTAGCGCGTAGGAGATTATTCTGATATCCAAAACAAAACAATGGGCCATTTAAGAATCCGATGTAATATCGTACTTTTGCATCCTCCCAGCCATTCAAAGCCACACGTGGACGGTTCCTTTCGTCCCGTCGAATCTGACCCGCGTTTCGTCCGTTCTCCGTGCTCTTGATTCATCCCACTTCACTAGTTTACTTCTCAATGCTCCCCAGCCCTCTATAAATAGGCTACTTCTACGCCTGAGTTCTCTCATTCTCTTCCTTGTCCTACTTTTTCTCGCACTAAGTTCACAGAAAAAGATAAGAAGGCTCTGTATTTGGGAATTTTGTTGAATTTTCAGTCGATTTTTTGTTTCTTAAAGAAGGAATGGCAAAAGTTGGTGGGATCAGTGAATCTAAGGGCAATGAGAACAGCCTTGAAATTGAGAGCCTGGCTAAGTTTGCTGTGGATGATTACAACAAGAAACAGGTGAGTAAATCAGAATTTCTTTGAATTTTCTTTTAGTGGGTGCTTTTCTGATGAATTAAGGAGGTCCTTGTTAACCTCTTTCACTCAGTTAGGAAAGGGAAGGGCTTTTTTTGGAGAGTGGAGAGGGAGAAATGGAAGCTGGCTGTTGTGGATTTTTGGTTTATTTGCGAATTTTTTGCTGTAGATTTGATATAATATTGTCTTGGGAGCTTGTCTTCATACCAGAGTAAATTCTAGTACAAGAAAAGGGCTTGATTATGGAAGGGTTGCTGTGGATTTTGTATTTATTTGTGAATTTTTAGCTCTAGATTCGATCAAAATCTTGTCTTGAAAAAAAAAAAAAAAGAAAAGAACTTGTCTTGAAATCAGAGTAAGTTTTAGTACAAGAAAATGGCTTGATTATTGAGCCCTAGTAATTTAGAAACTTATTATTGAATCAAAATGATCTCATATGCCTTCGGAGAATATAATCTTTCCCTCCTAAACTTGATAGTAGGATAATATAAAAAAAGAATATTAAATGGCAAACGTGATAATAATAGGCGTTTACTTTTTAGTGTCAGTTGATCTAGCAATGTGAACTGGTATGACATGTTTGGACTTTGGGCGTTGGATTGTTTGCAGAATGCCCTTTTGGAATTTCAGAAGGTGATCAACAGTAAAGAGCAGGTTGTTGCTGGTACCGTGTACTATCTGACCATTGAGGTGAAAGATGGGAATGAGAAGAAGCTTTATGAGGCCAAAGTTTGGGTGAAGCCATGGTTGAACTTCAAGGAGGTTCAAGAATTCAAGCCTGCTGCTGGTGATACTAGTGCCTAAATTTGCTTCTTAACAATGCGCTATTGCCTATTTGCCTAGTAGAAATAAAGCTAACGCGTAAATGTCTTTCAGTTGGAAAGATTGGAGTTTCAAACATGCTTAGTTTGTATATGCTATAACTCGTAATATTAACATGTTAGTAACATGTTATCTTATGTTGGATAGATGTTAGAGCAACATAATCTTCGCTGATGTTCGGTTCGATGTGATCTGATCCTGTGGTTTTTATACCACTCTGGCTTGAGTATCATTACCCTTAGTCCCTTTATGTGGCTCTTATTGTTGAAATAAAAAGTCATTTTTCTCTTTTCTCTGGTAAGCACTTTCACAAGGCAAGATGAATCGCTGAAAATTCTCTGGTCATCTAGCATCCCCAATGCTTTATGTTCTTCATTAAAGAAGTGTTTTAGTAGACTGTTATATCGTTTTATTAATGCCTTAGGCAATACAACTAGTGGTCCTTATCCTCTTTTTGTTACTTCAGAACTTGGAATTCAATCTGCACATTTTCTCACATCATGAAAATGCCAGGCGTCAATATGAATAGAAAATTAGGAATAACTCTTTTAATTGCTCCCCTGGAAACCTATGCCCCTTCACTTTTTAGGATGGATCGATGTCTTTGGCATTTTTCTTCCTTAGGCTGTAACGATGTGTAGAATTTATCTGTCTTGCAAATAATTGAACAACACTTGACAGGTAAGTCTTCTCATTTCTTGATTCATCAAGTATTCTGAACTTAACCATTTTGCTTCACTTCAAAATTGACAAATTGCTAAACCACTGTACCACAAAGTTGCAAGTATACACGTTGCAAATAGTTCACAACATGAAGTGATAAGATGGAAGAAGGCCAAAAATGTAGGCAGGAAGGTCTCTTGAGGGATCACCACATGATTAAACTTGGGGTTAACTTGCAAGCTTCATCTACAGTGCCACAGAATTTCATGGCCAATAACGTAAATGTGGAAGAAAAGCCCTTTATTGTTTTGTTGTCACGACCAAACCGCATCAAACAAATGAACAGATAGATGGTGGAAGTTTTGAGTCTGTTTTTCCTCTCGCCATTAATACCTGTATTTGGGGGAAATACACATTGCATTGGTCATTGGTGGTGTAGTTTGATGATTAAAGGAGAATCACTTCTTGCGTATTGACTCGTGTAAACAGAATTTGGAAAAACAGCCACAAGCCAAACATATTCTGCATTTTCTTGTTTGAAATGCCCCCTTAACTGATGCTTTTCGAAGTGCTTTAACCTGACGGGTTATAAATGGTGCAGAAGAAAGTTGTTGCCTTGAGTTTCACATTGTTCTTCCTACTACTACAGACAGAATTAGAGAAATAACGGGAGTATTTGGATACAAAATTTATTCCAAATAATATTTCGCTTGCATCATAAACATATTTTTCAACTCACCTTTTTATATTCCCAACCACCTTTTCATCTCACATACATTACATCACAAAAAGTGCTACAGTAATTATTTCAAATAATATTTCAAATAATACCCTATCCAAACAAACCCGCAATTTCCTATCAGTGTGATTCCATCACATGCAAGTCCAGATGAAGTGCTACTGTTGAGGTCCTTGAATTTAGTTGAAAGCGATCTATCTTCACTTGTCCGCTGGGTTCTAATTTCGCTTGTTCTTTGGGCTCCAACTTCAACCAAACCAGGTTGCCAAAGCATCTTCCAAATGCAGTCTTGCAACTCAACCAATACTCACCCTCTGCAAAAATCTGCAATACAATTGATCCTTGGTGTGATATAAGTGAAACAAACTTGTCAGGCCACGTTGTCCATTCTCTCTTGTGCTCATCTTGCCTGTGTCATGTAAATCATACCGCACGGATACAGCTCAACTTCCACAGAAGAAAGCAAATTCGTCTTAGCTAGTATGGACGAATTAAACCACCTGCTAAACTAATATTGTCAAGCTGCTTCGTGCATCAACCCCTGAATGGCAGGAAAATCCATACTTGCAGTCTAACTAATTTAGTGAAATATAACTTGCTTTAAATCTCCAAGGAATGAAAGTTATAAATTATACTACTAGCACACCAGGCATTTCCTGACACTTTAGTAGTTTCCAAATCGTAAGCAATAGAAGCAAAAGCAAAATGGTACCACAGTGTTGATGACGAAATATGCATCGCCATTTGAAATTGAAAAATATTTAACAGAGGCCCAGCTTATACAAATATAAAATTGACATCCAAGGCAAATATTTTTATGGTTGAATCGATGGTTATCAACTATCACGTACTCAAAGGAGCTACAAATCTTAAATCTTAGGCAAGATAATTACAAAGAACCTAGGATACTAAGAAAAACTTGACAAAGTTAGATTGGTAAGTAGCTGTTAGAGAGCACAACTACAAATAAAATTACAAAAGCCTAAGAAAGACAACCTCATTTCCTAATTCCTAACATGTCTAAAATACTTGACTAAGTTGTTCCAGTCACCATGATTTTCTAATGCCAAATAAGATTTTCCATCTATATCATGTGAACGCTACCCAATGTCAAGGATAACAACTACCTGCTACTCCATGTTGACTATCAAAAGCAGGACGGCAGCAAGTTATCCCTCTTCATCATAATCTTCCTCTTCTTCCTCTATCCTCTGATTCAGTTTAGCAAGTTGAACAGGATCAATAGCCATCGATTCCATGTCAGCAAGGGACCAACCAGGGTACTCTTCAGGCCTCACCTCCATAGGAGGCTTTGCCGATGAGGTAGAAGGGGTTCCAGCTGGTATGGCTCCGGAATCTGCATTTTCATTCAGGTCCACATTAAGATCAAAATTTCGAACTGGTGCCTCAGCATTTTGCGCAACCAAAGAGATTTTCGTATCATCTGGATTTGCTCCATTATCCATTCTTTTGATATTTATACTTTTCTTGTCACCATTTTGTAGCGAAATGTCTAGGTCGTCTTCATACTTTTCACACTGAGAAATTGATTCTTTCTCCAAAGTCCGATTAGCTCTACCACGACCTCTCCCTCTTCCTCTTCCCCTTCCTCTCCCACTGGTGTGGCCAGTCTCGGACTGCAGTCAAGAATATTTACCAATTAGGGAAAGCAGGCATCAAATGTCATTACTAAAAGCTCCTAACTTCTTGTCAATCTTTTTTCTTCCTTCCCATTTTGTTTTAATAGGCACATTAAAAGCTACAAAACAGGATTAAAATTTCACGTTTTATATAGACTTAAAGTTGCAGAAAAATAAAGAATATTGAGTCTTAATGGAAAAGCTAGGAGATGCATCTTATTGCAGTTAGTACCAAACTGTGCACCCCTCATGCTTTTAGGGAATAGTATCAAAGTCACATCACTTATTGAGTACAACAACTCAAGAAGCCCAAACATTTAGCATATCGTGAAACATTAGAGAAACCAAATAAAGAAACTGGATCAACAGATGCATGAAATATAAGCTCACCACGTGGCTCTTCTTGGCTTCATTGTCACTGTCGTTCCCTTCATCTTCAATAGCCTTCCTGCATGACAAAAGGTATTAGCACACAGCCCAAAACTTCGCATGTTAAAAATTTGCTTAATGAGAAACCAAACTACTAAAACCTCAAGTACCTTTTTCTAGCGGAAGATCCCTCAGCAGCAGCTTCTGAACCACCTAGGTCTGGTACCCTACTCACAATATCTCTCAGAAAGTCAAACACATTAAAGCTCTGCACACATTGTTTCCTACAAGTTAATTATGAAGTGTTATTATAAGAGGAACAGTTGCCAAAAAGTGCTTAACAGACCAGTGTCCTATAAATAAACTAAAACACAAGATACAGAAGAAAGCTTACAAGTGCAAAGAGTTAACTGTTTTTGCACCCCTCTTAAGAGTGATCTCATACGTTCGGTCACAAAGATCTTGCAGAAACAACTCCAAAGATTTAGCTGCCAATTAAAAATTTTAATTTACATAAAAACCAATACCATATAAAGGAAAAGCAAAATAAAAAATAACAAACAAAAAATACAAATCTAAATCATACAAAGAAAGAGACACCCTTTTGGGGGGAGGGGGGGGATATTCTCCCTTAACTACTTACACACTAGAAGAGGTACAGCCATAGCAATCTTCCCTACATCTTCATCAGCTTGCATAATTTTCTTGATCCTAGCCTGTGAAAGGAACAAGACAGTTAGATGCCATGTTCAGGAAAGGGCAAATTCAGTATGCAAACAATCTATATGTAACTCAAAAGTCTGTTGTACGGCAAATAAACAATCTGTTCTTAAGATTACCAAAGTTTGCAACAGTGAAGATTGAATACAAAAAATCCTAGTTCAAAAAGAGAATTTATAAGCAGATGGTACTCCAAAAATACACTACTTTACTTAAACCTCGCAATAACCTCTGGCCTGTTCCTAGGCGTCATAGGAAAGAAAGGCAGAAATAAAAAATAGATTATTCCCTGAGAGCTTGTCCAATACCACCAGTACCAGAAATGAATCTCCTTCGCCTCCGAGATACTTCTATGCCAGCCGAGAATTACGAATCCGCTATGAAAGAAGCGGCAGACAGACTAATTTGGACGGTATTCCCTAATGATTAGCTTTAGGAGATTAAGGTCAGCCACTGTATTTAGGTTTCCTTATCTCAACAGCCATGAAGATCACATACCGTTTCTCCTTTAAAGTTACCAAACATGCACCAAAAAGTTGAAACAACCAAGATTGGAGAGAAAAGCCCTAGTTAAAAAATATCTTCAAAGCAACTGGGTGGTAAAGTACATTCCTTTACCTTAAACCCTAAAGTACATTCCTTTACCTTAAACCCTAACCTCTGGCAGCCACTATACTTGGGTAATCCTATCTCAACAGCTCCGAAGATCAAACACCAACCTATCAAAATCATAACCACAAGAGTACAACTCATATTTAAGCATATCTAAACTCGAAAAACAAAATTGCTTCTCCAAATTCAGCTTTGCGATACCTCTGAGCATACCTTACTTTACCTGCTAAAGCTTTCAACTTGCAAAAACAATAATCCCTCCATTCACCAGCTCCCTAAACCTACCCCAAAAACCAGAAGGGGCTCTCATAATTTACTTTCAAAACATACGCAAAAGGAAAAACCGCCAGAACAAAAGAAAATTGCACAACAATTCATGGTTAAACTTACTACCAAGCTGCCTAAAATCCGGAAAACAAAAAGTATTCAAAGCTTCCACTTAGCTCTAATGCAAAACTTAGCCCTAATTGCTCTATTTCTCAACAAATTTAACAAATTCAAAACTAGAACAAACAAAAGGAAAAACTTAAGAACAAGAAAAAAAACCCCATAAAAAAATCTACCAAAATAGACACCAAAAAGCATACTGAAAAGAAAACTTACGGCTGGGAAACGAGTGTCGAGCTTCTTCCTCATGGCTTCTTCAAAAATCTAGAATTTTTGCGGCCCCCACAACCACAAATCGAAGTTTATCAGTTTCTGTTCCTTCTTATCTACATATAATTCCGTTTCCTGAAGGACTCTGTTTCGAGGTTTATACCTACAGCAAGAAGCCTTTTGGGAAGAAGAATTTGATTGGTTTTTTTTTATATTTTTTTTAACCCCAACTCTTTTGACTTAGCGAAATTGATTTTTTCTTTTTTTTTTTGGGTATTGCTTAAAATAGTAAAGACAAATAAATAAATGAAAAGGGAAACAAAAGTCAGTCAGGGGGTTTCACAGATTCGATTTTATCGGAAAAACCCCTATTCTTGATGTCATCAGAAGTCAGTCCTCCTCTTTTTATTTATACTTTCTAGGCTCTTGTTTTTATCTTTTCCTTGATCTTTAATGAGTTAATTACAATTACATCCCTAGAGTTTCAAGTAATTACAAAGTAGTACTGGTATAAACTTGTTTTGGAACCTTTTTTTTTTAATTTCAAATTTCATGTTTTAATGTTATTTCATTCTTTGTGATTTAATTGCAACTAACTTCTTGTGAACACTCTGTGTGTGTGTGTGTGTGTTTTTGAACACTAATTACACTTAGTGTAATGACGTGATGATGATTGTGTAGAAATCAGTTAATTCACAGTTAACTTTTGTCAATAATAATGATTATCGATATATTATAAACAAATTGAGAAAATTTTCAAGGATGGTAATAGAAAATTATAATTATGCCAAAAGCATATTAGAATATAGGTGTTGGATCAAGTAAATAATTACAATTAATATTTGGGTAGGATTTTTATAACATGATATGTAAAAACTTTAGGAACATGAATAGCACAAAACACAATTTAAATAGAAAATTTTCATACTTATGATAAATGTTACAGCAAATCGATGTAATTTGTCAATTTTTCTTACTATGTTACGGAATATACCGATATTGTCTTCCCTTTTTTTTTTTTCCTTTTGTGAGATTTAAAAAGTGAGGAAGGAGAAAGGGGATTGGAACTCAATGAGCTCTAAGGTCTCAACCTTAACCATTAATACTGATATTATTGTTCTTTGATAGTTTTTTTCTTTTTCTCAATACTTTAAATTGGAATGTCATAGTAGTAATTTTCCATATTTAAAGGAAAAGTAAATAGTAGAATATTTGGTCTTAGTATGCTTGCTAAGATTCTAGGTCTATAACATGGTTCTTATCAGTCACAAAATATGTAACAAGTGGGTACTTCCTCACAGATTTGGAGACTTTGAAGTGGTACATGGATACCATTATTTTTGCCTAAGCATCCGCCTCCTTGCGCAGTTTCACATCTTTAACAAAAGACTTAATCCCAAAAAAGTCCATTATAGTATTACTTTAGTAGCAAATTGCCTCCTGTCTTCAAGAAAATACAAATTGTCTCCTCTAAATTATGAAAGACAATCATGTTTATACACACACATACACACGCACGCACATATATATATGTGTGTATATACATATGTATATATGCATATATATATACATATGTATATACATATACATAGGATCTGTGTGTATCTATACATATGTATACATAGGATCTGGAGTAGAGGATCTGTGTATATATATACATATGTATATACATATACATAGGATCTGTGTGTATCTATACATATGTATACATAGGATCTGGAGTAGAGGATCTGTGTATATATATACATATGTATATACATATATATATACACATACACATATATAATATATACAATATATATACACATATGTGTATATATATATTTATATATATATTTCTTTGACATTTTAACATTTTGGCTCTCAAATTATGTTTTTCTTTTTCATTTTACGGAGAAATGTTAATTCAACAAAGATAAAAAGTCTCATGAATGATTAAATTAGACACCAAAAAGTTAATTGTTTTTTTTTTGTTTCAAAAATAGGTTTATAGTTTTAATCTTAACAAAATCTGTCTCTTGCTTCCTCATACTCAAAACTCAAGAAAATCCGTGAAAATTCTACCGATAGAAAGAAAACTCAACATTTTAATTGGGAAATGTTTCTTTTAGTTTTTCCTTTTCTTCTTCTCGAAAAAATATATAAGTTGTTTTTGGCGTCTAGCCTTTATTATTCATGAAACTTGACTCCTATTAATATAACAATTCTCCATAAAACAAAACAAAACAAAAAAATTGGAGCCAAAATGCTAAATTTGGTATATAAAATTGGTTCTTTGGTGCCCAGAGGAAGAATTTGTTGCTGCTAGTTGTTGCCGAAACTGATAGGCTTGATGGCACTTTGTTTTGCTTTTGTTGATGTAGTTGAACCTTCATTATTTTGTTTTACTTTTATTAAGTTGCCATTGACTTGTTGAGTGAGTACTTTGTACTCATTACCAAATGACATGTGACCGAGCAATTTTGTTAATGGCTAGAAATGCAATTCACAATTTGTATTCATGGTTTTAGTTCATTTTACTATGTTTTGTATTAAAATTCAGTTTGGTTGGTAAGTGGGATTGTCAAAATTAAGACAAAACTCTGCCGAAACTTTCCCAAACCTTAACACGATATAAAGTTATATCACATAGCATATAAATTATGACGTCAAACAACAAGAATAAACAGCTGCATCTAATAGCTAGTTTGGGAGGAAGGAAATGGATAGAAAAGAAAGGTTTTGAAAGGATTATAAATTTTTTCCATCTTTTGAGAGCAAAAGTGGGAAGGAAAAGAAAGGATTTGGAAAGACTTCACTTCCCTTTGTATATTGGAAAACTTTGGGCGGAAAAGGAAGGAAGGCCTGGTGCTTTAAATGAATTTTTCAATATGATAATATTGCCCTCAAAATCATGATACAAAAATTTTTAATTTCCGATGAGTCCCTTAACTTACTTAATTCATATTTGTTTACAAAAAGGGCAAATTTGTAAAGTAACTTATTTGAGTATCTTTTCTTTTCAATTGTTTTCAACTCCCAAACAAAAGAAAACTATTTACCTTCCGTTCTTTTTTAAAACTCCCAAACAACTTAGGTAGAAACTTGGATCCTTTCTCATCCTTTCTTTTCTTTTCTAACTTCTCCTTTCTCTTCTTTTCTTTTCTATTCTAAACTACCAAACTAGCTATAAAAGGCTATTTTTTTCCAGCAAACAGACCATTTTTAAAGTAACATTTTTGAGTCCCAGTACCACATGCCTTCTTCTTGCATTGTCAATCGACATTGCCAGTAATAAGATGTAACAACCTACCAATGCCAGTAGCAAGATTTTGGTCTTTCTTTTTGTTAATTTTTAAATTTCTATCTTCGTTTCCCTATTGTCTCCCTCAACTTTCCTTAGTTCCCTTAACAATTAGGCAATCGTGTTCTTAGCATACTCAGCTGGCATAGATAGATCATACCATAAAAAGAAGTTGCAAGTATGAGATGTCTACATTCAAAATTAGTACATCATTAGTAATAAAAAATAAATACAGCCCAATTACAAAAATTTAAACATTTGGCGAGTCGCATTACACCATAATTTTTACATCCATGGAACCTTTTTGATGGATTTGTTGCAGTCTAAGAAGACACTATTTTGCACGTTCTTCACAACAGCACTTCACAATTTCTTTCTATTGTAGTATTCATCCTTTCCTCAACTGAATCCTCTAACATGCAAGCTTCCATATGTCTAGCTCGATTTGTAGCTAAGGTTAACGACCCCATATCCAAATTTCTCCATTTGTTGTGCATTTCAAAGGAAGAATTTGAAGGCGTTTAGTTGGAACCCGCAATTAGGGGTAGTTGGAAGAACCCAAATTTCTTTCTCTATTCTTCCACTGCCTTTTCTCCATTGGTGTTTTTATTTGGTCACTTGTTTTGTTTCCCATACAAGAACCTATTTTCTTCCTCCAAACTACCCCTGACTTGTTGCTGATAAAGATTTTAGCTAAAAGACTTAATTCATGTGATAAAAACTTTTAGGGACCAAATCGGTGTTAGCGAAAAAGTTTCAGGACTAAATTGGTGATTTTCCCTACTTATTTCTTTCACAGTTTTAACCTTTTCACACTAAAAAATTAAATTGGTATACCAAATTTAATCTTTTGGCTCCAAATTTTTTTTTTAAAATTTTGTGGAGAATTGTTATATCAATAAGGATAAAGTCTCATGAATGAATTAAGCTAGTTACCAAAACTCTGGTTTTTTTTTTGTTAAATAAAAAGCTTATAGTTTTAATCTTAATAAAATTTGTCTCTTGCTTCCTCATACTCAAAACTCAAGGAAAATCATGAAATTTTGATCAATAGAAATAAAACACAACATTTTAATTGGGAAATGTTGCTTTACTTTTTCCTTTTTCCCTTTTCTTCTTCTCAAAAAAAATATAAGTTGCATTTGGCATCTAGCTTTATTATTCACGAGACTTTGCTCCTATTAAAATAACAATTCTTTGTAAAACAAAAAAAAATACATAATTTTGGAGCCAAAATGTTAAATTTGGTATGTAAATTTGGTTTTTTGGTGCCAAAAGATTAAAATTGTCAAAGAAATGATTATATAAGGATATGATTGTCTTTTCATAATTTAGAGAGGCAATTGTGTGTTTCATGAACACGGAAGCCAATTTGCAACTGAAGTAACCTTAGAGGGAGGCATTTTGGGATTAAGCCTTAACAAATTAAGTGTTTCTTGTCCACCGAACACAATAATAGTATATTTCCCATTTGGAGTGTTGTAATTTATTTGCTTTTTAATTTTTCTGCTTAAAGTAGTATAACCAATATTTTTTGTGTCTAATCTTTCTCATTATTAAGGGAAAATCGTCCAAAACATCCCTCACATTTTGTAAAATAACTTTTTTCGCCCCTCACTTTTAAAAGTATAATTTTATGTCCCTTACATATTCACATCGATCAAATTTAGTCCCTAACTAGGTTTCCGATCATTTTTTGGCCGAAATCCATCATGTGCAAGGCACGTGATCATTTTTGAAGGGTAAATTTGTCAAATTATATTTTACATAATCTGATCTATAGTCCTCCACATTTTATAAAATACTCCCTCCGTCCCATTTTGATAGTCCTATTTCTTTTTTCACACAGTTTAAGAAAAAGTAGTTAACTTTGTTGGAAAAGTAAATTTAGATTGCTATTTTCCTAAAATACCCTCACATTAAATATGGTA